AAACTTATCCTACAGGATTTTATCCTTCTGCCCCCATTCATGGAACAAACGACAGATTGCTGATTCAACAAATTGTAGAAATTAAATGTGGAAGTGAATTTTAATATTTGCACCAGAAATGCTTGTATGCTTGTTAGGTAATAGAAACAATATACCAGGTGACTATCTGACCAGTTACAGCTTGACATTGGTAGCTCAAATTTTGGAGTATTCACAATTAATTTGGGACAAAAATATCTGAGCATAACCTAGTTCAAAACCAAGCAAATATAAATAGTGAACTGCTTGAAGATATCCTGTGAGTTGAAAAAGTGGATTCATGCAAGGAATAAGCTGTGTCCTATAAATTATCCACTTTGTTTTAATAATACTGTAATTTTCTAACGGCTCTTTTATCCCACCGTAATTAATAAACTATGTGCACAGGAATCATTTAGTCTTTTGCTGACATGGAATTTGGTGTGTGCCATTTTAATGGAACATGTCATGATTTGAAATCAAACTTGCTAACCACTCAGCTTGCAGGTGTGGATGTTAGGAGAATATTGCACCCTAGTTGTGAAGTGATGCTGATTGTTAAGTTCCACTGAGGAAAAAATACATTATAAGAACTAGGTATTAGTGTTATCTGCTTTTGCTAAGCCTGACCCAATGAGATCACAGCCCAAGGTGGATTTGTATTTATGCACAGGAGAAAGGTAAAAAAAATGTTAATTAGAACTAGAATTCAGCTCATAGAAAACAAAATATATTTAAAGTCCTTTTAAATTACATTGGGAAAGGAGTGTTCTGTGGAAAGTTTCACAGGTTGATAACAAGGGGTGTGATGTGTGGAGTGATTGGGTGAGTACTTTTACTTCCTCTCAGGAAAATCATGTAATGAGATATACAGTAGGGCTTGGTGATTTGTTAATGACTTAAGTGCTGTGCCAGAAGAACGTTTGTGTAAGCAGTAGAATAGCACGTCGTATTTGTGTGTGATTAATGAGAAGGTGTCATTTAAAATAAAGCCAGCACACTTCCTTCGTAAATATGTGTTGATGTATCTTAAACACACTCAGCCAACCCACGGCTGAATATTAGTGGGATTACTCAGCAGATTGCTGCCAGGGTTTTCTTTGCCATTTTAGTCATTCTAACACCCGTTTAATAAGATGAAGGGGGCTGAGAATTCACATTACGTATTCCCATTATTGTTAAGTCTAACTTGTGGCTCTGTTAAAGGTCATGGATATTTGAAGCCATTTCAGACAGGTCAGACCACAGCTATTAGTCACAGAGCATTATTCATCCAAATCTCTCTTTCTCTCTCCCCCTTATTCCCATCCTTATACTTGAGAAAATGATTTTTGACTGGAATACAACATCCAGATAAAACATTTTCTGGGTGTTGAGTTTTTCCAAGGAAATTTAAATTCTGAATTCTCATTGGACGCGATATATTGGCACATTGTCTGAGGTGGAGTGACCTGAGCTCCCTTGCGGTAGTTATCCACCAGAACTCATTGCAGCAGTTTTTGTAGTCCTGTCTGATTGTCATTCTTTTTCAGACGTGGTGGTTTGCTGCCTTTCTAATCCTTAATGGGAGTTTCCCAGTTCCTTCCCCATTTCAGTCCATTTGAATTGTTTCCACTGTGTGCTGCTGATTTCATGAATGCCAGAATTTTGTCAGTGTCTGTTATCTGGCTGTTTCTCAACCCTTTTTTTTTTTTTTTAAAACAAACAACTTTTGTCATATGCAAAAATGTTCTGTTGCAGTCATGACAAAGATGTAAAATGTTTTTGTGATTCATTCCTGGGTGGGAATACTGTGGGTTTCTTTTTTTTTTTTCTCTTTTAATGTAAAAACTCTTCTTTTGCTAGTAGTACATGGAAGTAGAGGTTTGTTTGTTAAACACTGATACAGGCAGTCCTCAGACTTACGCCAGAATTGGTTCCTGAAAACCCTATCTTAAGTCGAAACATTGTAACTTGGAACCAATTTTCTCATAAGAAACAGTGTTATAAATGGGAGATGGGTTCCTGAACCAAGGCCCGATACCCTATTTTCACCAAAAATACCCCAGAATTTTGTACTTGATCAATTATAGATGAGTAATATAGCTACATTAATGTATTTATATGGTAAATAAGTAATCATATTGATTTAGAAGGACTTCTTTGAGGTGACTGCTGGACTTTTTGAAAGGCTCTTGGCTGGAGTCTTCTCAGGAGTCTGGGCTGCAGGTTTTTCTGGAGTCTTGTCTGCTTTCTTAACGACAGTGTCCGAGGAAGTTTGAACAGATGTTCTCCAGGGAGATGAGTGATGCAGAGAACTTGTTTGCTGGCATGGCTTTGCATCGGATCAAGCGTTGTAAGTTGAAACTGGCATTGTAAAGTTGAAACAGGGTGTCAATTTATAAACATAAGTGTGAAAGGTTGTAACTTGAAACGTTGTAAGTCGAGGACAGCCTGTATTACAATATTATTCAGAGACTCCAGCTTGGGACCCATTTATGTTCAACACTGGAAAAAAGTTGAAATGACCATCTTTGTCCCAAAGAGTTTACAGTACACATGTGCAGGGGGAGGGGGGAAACCCCACCGAAAAAGAAAAAAAAGATGAATGCAACAAACAAGATGGTAGGAGTGAGAAGTAACAAAATTTGGTGACAATTGTTAGAAAACTAGACTTTGTGCACCATTCTTAGTCACTCAGGGGCTGTAATACATTATCAGTTGGCCTAGCAAATGATCACAAAGCCTGGAAACACTTTTGCAAGGGAAAAGTGGTCAAGAACTGGAGCAGTACAGTTATAAAATGTATGTTGTGGATAAGTGCTATGAGATCATATATATATATATATATATATATATATATTTGTCTCCCTCTCCATATATGTAATGGGCACTTCTACATGCATCTCTGGCCAGTAATGAATGCTTTCAAACAAAGTGTATATTTGCATGTAGATGAACTATGGGGACATTATAGGCTAATGGATATGCTGAGTGCAGTTCCAAGATTGAGAATCTTTTGATTCCTGGTTATTAGTGGTGGATTAATGCCCTGCTGGGTCAGGATCTAAAATTCCAAATTATGTGGAGGTCCAAAATTAATGATTGTTGACCACATAACAGTAATAAAAAATTACGCAGGAGATACTGCGTTACCAGATACTCAGCACTTTATCCTGCTGAAAACTTGAACCACTGAAGGGTTCTGAGTGAGCCATGAACATGGATGAGCTAAAGCTTTGTATGGCAGTGTACTGTAAGTCACTGCCTCAAGATCATGACTGAGATGCTGTCAAGAAATCTGGCTAAAATTATTTGTTGGAATTTTTTTTTGTTTGATTAAACACTTTACAAAAAATGTCAGCTTTCTTTGATTTACCGTCAAAGTACTGAACACCTGAAAACCTCGGTTTGAATTCTGAAAGGCAGCTGCAGTGCCTCTTGGGAACTGCTGTTTCAGTTCCACATGCTTCCATTTCCTTCTATGCAATGTGTTCCCCAGCCAGACTGCATGTTTCATCATGCATTGGGGCAATTGAGCAAGAGGGAAGACTGCAACATGGAGGATGTAGTCTGGCCAGCTCACAGGAAATTATGGGGCATAGCTACAACTCCCAGGAGGCACCAATCTGTACAGCTAAAAAAAGTGCAGGTTTACACATAACCAGCTTTTTCCCTAGTTACTTTTCTCCAGGATCAGGTGCTAGATAAACTTTTGAACTGAGTCTGTGCCATGAACTTTCTTTAGGCGTTGGGGTGTTTAGCTTCCAGAATGTAATTCAGGCCTATTTCTATTGAATTCCAAATGGGGTTAACTAATGCTATTTGGCTTTCCTTTTAAAACAGGATTAAGAAAAGCCTTGTAGTTTATGATGCAATTAGTATTACACATTTCCTGTTTGGAAAAGTTATGTAGTGCTGTTAGAGGCTGTGTGTTAGCCAGCTCCTTTCACTCCCAGAGAGGGCAGCATTTTGGGATACTTGAGCACTGGTCCTGTGATCTGTGGACTGCTGTGCTCGTGTGGAGTCCCATTCATGCACAATTGAAGGATTAGGGCCGTAATCTGAAATGAGTTCTTAGATTCAGGATGCTTTGAAATCTAATTACTTTTAGACAGGGTCAGCCCTAGATATTTTGTTTCCTTGATCAGAATACATTTTGATGCTTTCTAACTCCCTACTAGCATAACTGGGAGTGGAGCATTTTAGAAAGCAGCCTTTTTTGGCACTGCCTTTGGTGCAGAGTGGCTGATGCCGCAGCTGCACTATCTGTACCACTGCTGCAGCACAGGAGCTGGTGCTGGCCTGTGCGCCACGGCTGCCGTGAGTATGAAGCTGCTGCGTTATGCCTCTCCAACTCCCAGTCATATGACTAACCCTACTCCCTCAATAGAAGCTGCTGTTGACTGCTACTTAGGTCCCAAAATGCCTCCAGTTCTGTTGTCCCTGGCTAATGTCCAGTTTGTCCACAGAAGGTGCCCAACCCTGCTTCTAGACGATATCTCTACTTAAATCGGTGAACTAGAGGAACTCTGCTAGATGTATGTTTAAGCCAGGGTTAGCTATGTTAATGGTACACCAGCCATTCCCTGGCTAGGCAGATCTCCTCCCAATAGGATACAAATGGGTAACTGTATTCCCCTTACAATTCTGGGAGGCCAAACACCTGTTAAAAAGGGTGCTTTCCCTATCCCCGCTACTGCTCCCCCGGCAGAACAATCAAGAGCTCATTTGAAAAGCAGGTAACTAGCAGGACCCCACTGAAAACCAGATGCTGCAGGAGAGCTGAGCTTGCCCTGAGCAAATAAATTATAGTAATAATAATAAAAGTGGGGTTGTTTTAAATAGGCATTTCTGGCTGTAAGAAAGAGGGACACTGTTATGAAATCCAGGTGCTGCTCTGTGCCTGAGAAATGTGCTGCCCTCTGTAAACTTTGTTTTTTCTCCTCATTTGACTTCCCTCTAGCCTCTACCCACTGCTCTCTTATTTTCCTACTTCAGGTTTTGCATTGCCGGAGCTCTCTGTGGTAGGCCACGTCCCCGCCTCACATGAAAGGACAAATCAGAAGGTACCTATTACACGTCTGTGAGGAGAGAAACAAAGGCGCACAATGCTGACACCCTCCTACTAACTTGGATTTTAATGGTAGGTTTAATTTCCTCATGAAAGCAGAATGAAAGGAAAAAACAAAACGGAAACAACCAGGGTGTGGGTAGCAGTGGTGGTGGGGGAACGACAGCTGTTGTATTCATGGTTAATCAGGTGTGTCTGTCTTTGTGTAGCATCTGTCTGCTACTGTTACGGTGCCACATGTGAAAGAGGAGAGGCATTCATGTTCAAAGCTTTCAGGCCTGACCTCTGTCTCCGTCTCCTCAGGATAGGAGAGCGTGTCTATTTAACTTGCCCTATTATTGGAAACTGTAATTCTACTCTATTAGCCCACCCTAAACATCTTTAGCTGACACGTTTCATATTGCCATAAATCTGATCACTAAATGCCTACTTCCTTTCCCTCCCCCTCCCTCCATGCCTAAAGTGCCATTTATTATTTTGTATTTTTAGTGCGGGTTTTGCCTGAGTAAAGACATCCTTAACATGGAATCAAGGCTTTGGGCTGTGGGTCATAAGCTTGAAAGAGCTGTCCTGCATTTAAGAGGACACTAGATCATGGAGGCTACCCCATCGGTAGAGTCATTGGGACCTCATTTTTCTGAGAACCTGTTTAGTTCCCCCAACCTGTCAGGCATGTCACCTCTTTATCAAATCCTCCAAGGAAATGTCTGGTTGATAGTACAGTAATAAGAGATGGCTTATGAATAGAAAACGCTATCTCTTCTTATTCACTGCCCTTTGTAATAAATCTCTGTGGTACATGTGTGCTGCATTTCAATACTTCAGGAGCCCATATGCCATAAGAATTTGTATGTTTTTGAAACGGTTTCTTTGCAAAGCAGGAAGCTCACCTCCATCTTCTGGGGGCCATTCACCTCCTGGCATGCAATGTCTTTGAGATGGCATCCTCATGGCGTTTAACCAAATAAGGGGGAGCTTTGTCCTTGCTGCTGTTCTCTCCCATGGCATGTTTTACTGCCATTTAGTATATATGCAGGTTCATGGATGACCTTGACAGTCTGCTGGCTTGGTGGGGAGCAGATGTGTTGGCAGAAATGATGCATTTGGCTAAGGAGAAACGGGAGGTTCTGGCTCCACTACTTTTGGAACATTTCCTTTCCAGCTTGTCCCTTAAGCATCATTAATAGAAGTCTAAACATATGGGCAGAGGTAGAAGGGTACAACAGTGGCCTCTGTGTGTCTAAGGGGAATTGAACTAAAAGGAAAAAAGGGGCAAGAGAAAGAAAAGACAGCTTAAGTTGATGCTCAAGGTCTTATATGAATCAAAGGAAAATATTTTTATTTGACCCCCTGCCCCTGAAAATCAATTTTCATTTTGGTCTTTGCGAGTTTCCACTCTTACCTGGGCTGTGGCTTGGCAGATGGATAAAGTAATCTTTGTATGTAATCATAAATACATACATTATTTGATTATTGTTTCCAATATATGTATTAAACCCTCTACCCAACAGAAAATCACCAAAGGGGATTGATTAAATAACTTAGCTAAAAAAGATGCACGCAAGTTACATGACTATATAATGCAGAAATCAAATCCATTTTACTGAGAAACACTGAGAAAACAATTGATAGGAAAACATGGTATGTATAAAGATGAGAGGAGGAAACCTGCAAAATTAACTGATTGCTTTCTACTTAGAGTGTGAAAATGATCCAGTCGATACCCAGGGACTCCTTCAAATGATCTCGAGATTTGGCTGTTCCTATAAACTTTGCAGTAGGGTCACATTGGCTGGCTATCTTGTTTTGTCATCCCCCTCTCCCCGCCTTATTTAAGAGACTGGGAGATTAGCAGCTCTGGCTACAATGAGGCCTAGAAGGAGGATGGGTTCTTACATAAACTTTTGATATGCAGCTCTGCCTAAGTCCTGATTGGCGACATCTCCAGCTGTTCTACCTATGGGAAGAAGCTCCCAGCTGTGCCAAATTGCAGAGGACCAATGTTGTGATTTGAACCTGAACTAACTGTCACAAAGGGTATGCTGAACTCCTTTTGTGTGGAACCAAGTTAATGTGAATGTAATTCATAATAGGTGAAGGATGCATATATTACTCAGCCTTACCCTTCACCTTCCCTCTGACCTGTTTATAAAAGGTGGGTACTGACAGAAAACAATGGACCTTCACTTGTGGAGAATATTCATAAAGCACTAAAGGATGTAGCAAGGAGCTGTGCTATGATGCTGTTCTTAGATGCTGATGTAATATAGTAAAAATAACTTAATGTTTTATGAACTGAGAAGTGTTATGAATTGCCAGTGCTTTGCTCAGATGCAATCCTTCACAAGTTGAATTCAGTGGAATTTCTGACCCTTTTCAGAGCACCAGCCAATCAGGACTCTTGTTCCCTTGGTGCGGGCATTTACAATGTCATTTCCGAAACACCTCTTTTTGGTAAGACATCCTGGAAAAAACAAGTAAATACAAATAAATGATAATCTTGGCATCTCACTGGCAATATTTGGCATCGTTAATGAGAGAAACATTCTGCTTTCTTTATTCCCAGTTTAACAAAATTTTCACTTCAGGGATGCTTTGAAATGAGACAGTAAGTTAAGAAATCAACCAACTATCCTGTAAAACCCATATGTAACCATAGTTGTAACATGGAAAACCATTATGCTAGCTGTGAAAAGTCTTCTCCATTTTCATGTCTGCCTGGTGATTGAATATTCCACCCCCTTTCCATTTTCACCCTTTCCCTTTCTTTCAGGTTGTAGTGTTTCCTCATATGGCTTTGGTGGGTGATCAGAAACAAGCACCCCCAATTCCATAGTCTTTAGGTAGACAGCTTTAAATTCATGCTTTCTGTAAGGAGCTGTTTGTAGATAGCTGCCTAATTAAAGCCTACTTGGGTTTACATTACACCTTTAATCCTAAAAAAAGAAAGCTTCAAACCCTGTACACTCTATATGGATTGTAATCATTTCACCCAATTCCGAAATGCAGCTGCTTTGAAGGTAGCGCATAGTAGCTGCTTAACACAACAAGCTGTTAATGCCTAATAACCTTATGTGACAGTTTAGGAGAGGAAGTGAAGAAGTTTTTGAAACTGCAAGGGAGGTATACATTAAGAATATAATTATTCCAATCAGAGAGCTGACAGCTCTTTAGAGAGGAGAGACTGTTTTGCTGACAGGATGCTCAAGGGGAGGGGGCAGAGAAAGCAAGGACATGTTGACTATACAGGACACATTCTTTATATGCTAAAGAATTTTCTACTATGTTAACCTGAATTAAAACTACCTTGGGGTTTCTGTAGATTTACCAATTCAGGTGCGGTAGGCAGCCCTTTTATGTTGTTCTAGTTTAGGGGTGCCCAACCTTTTTGCCTGATGGGTTGGATTGGCAGTGCCCAGTCTGTCCGCAGGCCAGATCCAGCCAGTGTTCCTGATCCAGCCAGGTGGGCATGGCAGGCAGAATCTGCATATGCATAGGTGGGCAGGGACAGGTTAGTCCTGTAGGGGATAGGAGCTTGACCTGGCCCTGTGGAAAGGGAAGTGGATGTGCTTGGCCCTGCAGAGAGGGAAAGGCATGAGGCCCAGCCCTGCCAGGGGGGAGGGGCATCGCCTGGGCCAACCTGGCCCCATGGAGAAGAAGAGGGCATGGTCGGGCCCCAACCTGTCCCTGTGGAAAGGGAAGGAGGAGATGTGCATCCCTGATCTAGAATGGGGGGAGGGGGGGTCTGGCTGGGGAAGGGGACATAGCTTGGCTCCAACTGGCCACAAAGGTATTTGGGTTTGGGAATTTGGTAGGTGGGAGGGTGGCTGTATTAATGGCCATCACTTCCCTGCCACCAAATTTCCAGACCTGTGGGGCCCCCAGTGGGCCAGGTGCAATGGCTCTTCAAGCCTCACTTGGTGTGCAGGGTGGAGGTTGAGCACCCCTGTTCTAACCATATTTTCTCTGTTTTCATCTAGTCTTGATTTTACTAAAGCCATTAAGTTTTAAATTAGTTTTGAGGCAAGATCACTTTGGTACTTTCTGGAAGGGGAGACCTCTCTTGGAAGGAAGCTGGGGAAAAAATGGTACATGCTTGTCCCTATGGTTGAAGCAGTCTGGTATGTTGTACTACCAGTGCATTGACTGCGATCAGTATGAGATCAAGGAAAAGTAGCTGACTAGGAGAAGTGGTGAAAATAGAAGCTGGAGACAGCAGTAACAAGTACAACTCATTTTTAATATCAGCTTTCTTGGAATGTCTGTTGTAAGGATCACGTGGCAGAGAGAGAGGGAGAGAGTGAATGTACTTGCAACTTCGTATGAGATAGCTGCGTTGTACAGCTGGGTTCAAATTCTGGGATTGGGTAGAAGGGTGTTTTAGCTTGGGAGTTCCTTTGTTCATATAGAGCAAAGAAGCAGATCTGACAGCTTGGGCAGATTAGTTAGAAACAAAGAACCAACCTAAAGGAGGTTTGTTCTGCATCTGGAATCATGCCATGGTCATTTAATACTAGAAAATCAGCTCTGTGGTCACGCAGGGGTATTTTTTAGGTCTCTTGATCACAATAGCTGTGCTGGGAATGGTTGATGGCCATTAAACTCGAGGTTTATTTCTTTTTTTTATAAGAATTTTGTTGGTTGCAAAAAAATAAGTTATGAGCTGTGTGCCCTTTACTTGCTACTCCCAAAGAGGAAAACTGAGGGACATTTGGTGATAGCCAACTGCTGATGGAGTGATTTGCTTTTAGCATTATGGAAAAAAAATGTGAGAGAAGAGTATGAGCTATTATTATAAAATTATCCTATTTTTGCCACTGTGGGCCTCTTCAGGAATCAGTCTGTGGGTAAAAATACTGCCTTTCATTCCAGGAGCTGCTGGATATAAATATATGCTCTCTCTCTTTCCTTTCCCCAATTGTAGCTTTTTCCCTCCTTGCCAGCCAAGTGGAATGTATTTAACCTCCTCTTAGGCAGTGTCTACCCTAGACTTTTTTTTGGGCAATCTCCAACCATGCAACTCTGTTGGTGGCAGGAATGTCTAGAGGTCACCTGCATTTTTTACCATTCTGTTGTCTAGACTTGATCTAATACTTAAAATGTCAAGGCCTGTTTGAGCCCTGTCCACATCAGGGTTCCTACCAATTGCTGGTGGAGCTATATTGCTGGTGGTATAATAGTGGACAGTTTCTCATTAGGTGCCAATAATATCCATTATTAGTTATCTCATAGGAAGAGTTTTCTATAGCAGGTTTTTTTTAGGAAAGAGGAAAGGACTAAGCCATTGGAGGGGAACTGGGGGTGGGGGATATGATTTTTTTTTGCTCATTGCCTATATTTATGTTCATGGCTTAAGCCCACAGCTGTGGCACCATGCTGCTGTTGTGCTCAGAAATATGGCTAATCGTATGTTCAGAAAAATGAAAATAAATTCAGTTAATGTATTCAAATCCATCTTTCCCCTTTGTTTTGCTGGTGGGGATCAGAAATACCAAAATACCACAAGGGAGGCTGCTCTCATGTTACTTCTCGCCAAGTTGGAAATGGGAGGGCTGGAAATTTCATGAGAAAGAGTTTCTCTGGAGAATTGCAGTCCAGTTGTGCAGATGTGTGGCTCTCAGACAGCCTGAATCTTTTGGATAGCAACCTGATCCTTCAAATGCTGAAGTGAACCCCAAATTTGAACCTGTTGAAGATGGTCCATCGTTTTCCTCTGTGGTCTCCTTTGTACTGAATAAATCCTATAAACTCTTCTGTATACTTTGAATTCAGTTCAGCTCCCAACAGAAACAATTGCAAAAATAACTTTGACTTCAGTGGGAGCAGGACTGGATCCTTGTTTCCCTCAGATTTGGTTGGTATGGTATTACAGGATTGCTTATAGGCCCTGTTTCCTATACCTTAGTCTGGTATGATGATGCCACATCACATCTTTCATACATTCATGATACAGATTCCTCAGTCAAAGGCAAGAGAGGTAGTCGTTTACTTCTGTCTAAGATGTTGCAAATCACGGGCTTGAATTTTCCTTCCCATTTCTGGAATCAAAGCTAATGACTGATAGCTGGAAGTAGTTGGCAGAAAATTTAACTGGTACCATAAAGCTTCTGGTGGTGTCAAACATTTTTGACACCAGCCTCATTACATTGTGCTGTCAAGTGAATGAACAAATATGTTTGGGTTAAAAGGCTTGTAGGCAAGATGCTCAACTTCAGGATCAGCTTAGGCAAAATGAATATACTGAAATATCCCCAGCTGTGGGTTCAACTGAATCCTAGTAAAATGCATCCTGACATCCTCAAAGGCTTCCTCTCTTTCATCTGTCTCCTCAGTGGACACTTAACTCATTTGAATCATTTGTGTAAGGTGAACTGGGGTTGGACCCACAGTTGACCCCTGATTTACCAGGGAGTGCTGCACCCTGCCATGCATCACCTCTGTTTTAATTTCTTACCTGATACAAGCCTTGGCTTTGTAGACAACTCCTATTCAGTGAAGCACTTAAACTTAAGTTTCATGGAAGAACAATGGCAGGTGCTGTTCCGAATAGGAATGAATTTGAGCATATGCTTAATTGGGGAGTGGTTTAAAAGTTGGAAAGAATAAAGACTGGGGAATTTTCATTGTTTCCCCTTCCAAATGTTATAACTTTGTATAAGGCCAGGAAGATATGCACCTTATAGACTAAATCAGATATATAACATAAGCTTTTGTGAGCCTGAGCTCACTTAATTGGATATATTATGCATCTCACATATAGGTGAGATCTCTCTCTTACACATGTATCCTATGTACAATAAATTGGTATTTCACAAATACATACATAACCCTTCTATTGGGTACTGGTTGGCAGCAAGAAAGGCCGGGTTCACATTTCAGGGTACCCCATAAATTATACCAGTGGCTTAAGCCCCCACCCAGAAATCTGGGAATACTAAATTTCCTGAGGTGCGCTGCATAAAACCCCTCCTTACAAGCAGTGTAAACATAAAAACCCAAATGTATTACAAAGATTAAAAACAAAACAAAAGAAAATGCTATATATAATTTCAAAACACTATTAACTACAAAGCAAAGTCTATAGCGGCACCCTCTTAGGGGAGGCTTCACCCATACCAAGGCAGTCTGGGACGTGGGGCTTCCCAACAGGTAGTTCCGGGAGCCTGCACCCAGCAATGGGATGGAGAGTGGGGCCCACACCAGAGAGTCCTATAAGCTGCTCCTTTGGCTCACTGTGCCACAGGGAGTTGCTTGAGAGCATTGTAAGGGGCTCCTGAGCTTCCCCTTTCACTATCTGCAAATTCCTTCTCCCTTGACGGAGAATTCACTCTCTAGCAGCCCCTAGCAGCTTCTTTTCTTCCCCAAACCTTCCCCAAACTGGCCCTGCCCCCCCAGCTGGAAGCCCCAGCCGGGGCTTCCGGCCTGGGACCATGTGGCTGTCCTGGCGCAGGAAG